TCAAATACAGAAAATAAACACTACGATAAAAATAAGAAAAAATAAAAAGAGAATTAAAATGAGTGAGTGTGCCAGCACCTTTACGACACCACCATCTTTGCCGATTTTAATTATTTTTTGGCATTGACAAATGCCCTGAAAATTTACAGATATGTAGTTTACATAATCAATAACTCTTAACAATTTTTTCAAAAAATCATTAAATGTTTTAGGCCCCGAAATAAAGTGAAAACAAAAAGTTAAAAGTGAAAAAAAACAAAATAGTGAGTGGGCGAGCACGTTTTGACACCCCCATCTTTGACGATTTTTAATGTTTTTTTGGCTTAGCAGAATGGCTTCAAAATTTATAGGCGTGTAGGTTACATAATAGAGAACTCACAAAAAAAAACAATCAGAAAAAAAAACTTATTTTTAGGCCCCGAAAATGTTTTTGGCGGGGGCCATCCTGGAGGTGTTTGGCCCCCGAACGGGACCCCGAACGCCCGAACGTTCGGGGGCCAGCCCGGGGCCCCCCGAACGTTCGGTCAGGTAACCCTGGCAACAACCTTTTACCAGCACCTCTTCTCCTCCCAGATTAAATCCAGCGATTCTCTTCTCTTCTCTTCTCTTCTCTTCTCTTCTTCTCAGTGATTCTCTTCTCTTCTCAGTGATTCTCTTCTCTTCTCAGTGATTCTCTTCTCCTCTCCTCTTCTCTCCTCTCGTCTCCTCTCGTCTCCTCTCGTCTCCTCTCGTCTCCTCTCCTCTCCTCTCCTTCTCTTCTTCTCAGTGATTCTTTGCCCAGGAAGCCCGGTCGTGCAAGGACCAAAGGCGGTCCTAGCAAAAAAATAATAATAATAATAAAAATTGAAAAAAAAAAGTTTTGCAGAAATATAAACTGAGCAACTTTTGCCTCAGGGTCACATCGAGATCCTTTACCAAATTCAAATAAAAAATAAAATTAAAACACTTTTTCTTTTCTTTGGCCTGGCCACGCAAATGGTCCCCGGCTCCCTCCCCACCCCTTCCTAACGCCCCCTCCCCCCCCCTCCCCCCTCCCTCCTGACCCTCCCCTCCTCCTCCCCCCTCCTCTTCACCCTCCCCTTCCCCCTTTTAACATGCATTGTATTCACTGTTCAGTGCTGTATTTCCATTATGAAAGCTTTCAAAAGTATGAACACTTAAACTCTAGTGTCTAAAACTCCAGTGTCTAAACTATCCAAGGGAAAAAGGGGAAAGAATTCGAAGGAAAAAAAAAGGTTGACTTTGTGCTAATCCGAAAGACTGAGATGCACCAAGACTGAGAACTTGATTGCTCTCTCCTCTGAGTCCCCCCAGCCTCTGTTAATTCCCTTAACGACCACATGAAGGATGAACCTCCGGTGTTCGGACGAGGCTGCAATGCCCTTTGCACTGTCGGATAGGGGATCTGGTGTACCACAATCAAGGGTGTGTGCGATACTGATCCTTACGCCAACTACATGCCTGCATCTGTAGGCGATTGCTGCTTGATTGTTGGCTTGGGGGTCTCCATCAGATGATGACAACTGGCGTAGGATTTCCTTCTCCAGCATATCATTTTCATATTTCTCATCATCATCATCATCGCCATTAACCTCCTCCGCGTCTTGCAGTGACAGTCCCTCCAACGTTTCGCAGGCATCGATATCGGTGGCAAGTAATCTGTTCTCCTCCGCGTTCCATTCCTCCATCGGGAAAACATTCCTCTTATAGTAACCGTCCCTCACAGATGTACACGTGTCCTCAGTCCGCCACTTGGCGCTGCGCTTTTCCCTGCAACCTACCCCGGAATCCGAATGTTGGTAAACCCAGTACGACTTGACTTTGCTATTCTGTCGGTGTCTGATTGCCCCTGGGGGCTGATGCAGCTGATCTGTTGCTTGCTCTGCATGGTTCTGAGCCTCCGCTTCCTGCCTGCTCCAGTCAATCGCTGTTCGATGCGATGTGCCGGCGTCGGAAGAGATTCGAGAGACCTCATTTTGACAGCTGCTGCTGCAAAGGACAACATGGACAGGATCGGGTCGCATGTTCCGAATCTCGATGATGGCGTGGGTGGTTTGGTTTCGCCCGACGGACTGTGGCGACGGCAAATGCTGCCGAAGAGTGAGCAAGGGCAACACCCTGATCCCTGACGTGTGCTCGCGGATGACGTACTGCGACGATCTCGGGTCAGGATCTGGTTTGATGACATAGCGCTCACAGTACGGGCATCGGCCCGTCCGCTTGCAGACAAGTTGTTTGAAAACAGGCTTGAGCTTGTTGGAAGAACACGAACACGGACAAGGATGATCTACATCTGATAGTTCTGTAGGCTTCTCCGCAAGAAGAGTTGAACTACGATCATCGACCTCGGGCTTCGGACGCCTCTTGGCAGAAGTCACACTTTCTGGTGGCAAGGACTTGAAGGGGATAGCTGTCGTAGAGGGCACATGATTCGAGTCGGGGGGATAACCGAATACGCGACATGAAGCGCTTCTTCCAGTCGGCGGCTTGGAGTCTGGACAGTCACCAAGAAGGCCATTCCAATCACTAGGCCTCGACAAAACTTGAGAGGAGTTGGAAAAAGGCTGCCCTCTTGGCTTGTTGAGAAACATTCGCATTGGCTTGTCGAGAAACGCTGGCATTTGCAGTTTCGGTTGTGCTTTGGGGGTCTTGCTGGTTATCTTGCCAGAAAGACGCCGGCTGCGTGCTAGCTGTGTGAGAGTGGGAGCCGGGCGCTGGCGGTTGAGCTGCAGAGAATGCAGATCATGTGCTAAGCGTTGGGCAAGCTGTAGAAGGCGTCTATCAGATTTCCTGCATTCTTCACCGCTCCTCTCATCACCATCATCACTGAAAATTGCTCCTGCCTTCTGTTCCACAAGGGTATCGACATGGCCCGTTGCAGTGGACGACCATCCGCAAGAATGACAACTCCATGTGAGGCGGCAAGGAGGACCACCATTCCTGCGGCTCCATGACGTCTGTCCTGTGACCCCATTGTCAGAGGTATGGGTGATTTCGCCCATCGGAGAACCCTCCACAGCCACACGTGTAAGCCCCGCTTCTCCTGCCGTGGTCAGCAACGCTGACGCGCATTGTGGGCAGTCGGCACATTCATGGCATCGGGTTCGATTGGCTGCTCGGCAACAAACCGCACATTTTGTGCAGTGGCACAAGGGAGAACCATTGCAGGCCCCATCTTCGTGCTGGTACTCCACGTCCGCTGCCTCAGTTTGGCGTAAGCAAGACGGGCAGTAGACCGTCTCAATTTCTTCAGAGATGCACCGCCGGCAGCAGGTCTGATTACATTCTTTGCAAACAAACAAGTCCTCACGAGAACTGAGCAAGCCGCAACTACATCCATAGAGCACCCGAGGGAGCTGCCAGTTTCTAGAATCCGCCAAACACGGCTCCGTGGTCATCACCAGTAGCCCCACATCTCCTTCCCCCCTCCCAGTTTTCATCGTCACCCCAGGTTTACTATCCTTGGCCTTGTCTGTTGTTTCCGATCTCTCACAGAAACAGCAACCCCATCCCGTTTTCAGGGAACCGTACCTGCAGCAGATCATTTCACACACAGCATGCGGAACACCACATTCCAGGGGCATCACTAAAAATCCAAAGACCATTCTTCGTTCCATCAACCTTCTTGCCGTTTAAAAAAAAAAAAAAAAAAAAAAAAAAAAAAAAAAAAGCCTTCTTGCCGTTTTTTTCGAGTTCTTCGAAATTCTTACTGTTCTTTTTTGTTTTGTTTTCCGAACTATTTGTCACTGAGGGGCCCCACTGCCCGAGGCTACCCGAGGCAAGTACATATAATGCGGTGGCAACCAGGGGTTTGTACCGACTTTCCCTTGCACGTCACGAGGGAGCCAAACTCAATTTCATGAATTTTCATCTAAGATTCTAATTTCTAAATAGTAAATTCATCACGAGCAGAGTCCCGCTCAAAACTTTGACAGAGTCGTTCGCACCGTCAGCCAATCGGCAGCGGGCCCGGGAAGTAGAGGCAGACCGAAACCCAACAAAAATTCTCTTCTTTTTAGTGGGCTGACGGACACGCAGCCCAAGGGTACTGAACCTGGTTCGAGTCCGTCCTTAGCCTCGTACCCATCCCATGAGGGTGGATGATACACACACATATATGTCGGTAAGAGAACATGTGTTTCGACTCCTGATTGGAATTGGATGAATACCATGAAGTTAGGGGCTACAGCTGCTACATGCTTCAAGAAAAGAGAAGACTGAACCTGTGCATACTTTCATGCCTCGTTCAATCAGGATAAATAAGTACAACATAGCATCTCCCGTATATCGCAAAGGAGAGACAGATCCCTCACTTCATCTCCCTGTAAAATCTACTAACCAAGGACGACTACGTCTGCTGCTGTGCTGCGCACGATCACTCACATGAACTCGACTGAGACGATGGCACCACGAGCAGCTTGCATACATGTGTTCTTGTAAGAAACAAGTCTGGCAGCAAAAAAAAAAAAAGGCAGCAACAAGGAAGAAGAAGAAGAAGATGAGACAGCGTCACCTCTTCTTCTTCTTCTCCAGGTCCCTAGGGAACTGGTAGACCTCTGCCTGCTCAGTAGCTCCGCGATGGGTCATATTCGTACGGGGACTGTGTGGACTCAGAAACTGGCCTTGTGGAAGAAGATTCAGGTGAGATGTCGGCTCCCTGAAACAGCAGATGCTATCTTTAACCAGCTTCTCTTTGATAACCGGTTTATTTATGACGAGGCAGGGGACCCCTACTGTTGCATACTGTAAMGGTGCAGACCAGAACAAGAACCGACCTCTCAATACGAAGTACAAGATAGCGTAGCGGAAGACTTAGATACCAATGATCCGAACAATCAATATTGCAATGCAGCCCAGAACATACATCATCATCATCATCATCTCCATGGTGTGAAGGGGTCTGGCGCTCACACAGGAAGAATGCGCAAGCCCCAACCATACACAGACGAAGAAGAGGAGGGTTAGACGAAGAAGAGGGGAAGATGGGAATGTCGTCAACACCAAGTCTTCGGCACAGGCCCAAATAGTCCCTCGTCAAAATGTCTGAATCCCAATGTCGTGTCTGGATCCAATGTCGTCAAGTCTCAAGTCACAACTCTCTCTCTCTGTAGTAGTCCTCTGATACTGAGAAGTCAGGTGGTGAGAGGGGAAGAAGAGATGGTGGACTTAGAAGAGGAAGAAGAAGAACTCTCTCTCTCTCTCTCTCAGTCTGGTACTAACCTGTGAAGTTTTGGCGCCTTGATGCAGGTACCTCAAAGATGGAGCTGGAGCTATGGCGCCACAGGTAAGTCCCACTGGCCTCCGCCAGCCATCTCTCCCAACTCTACTACTACCACCTACTAGCGCCCAGCGCTGAAGACTACTGCTATGGCTACTAGCGCCCAGCGCTGAAGACTACTGCTAGCGCTAGCTACTCCCTGGCAGCGCTCCTCCTGAGTGCTGCGGCCGAATCCTGAAGACTACTACTGCCTCTGTCCAACTACCTACCCGTGTAGTGCATGGGAACTTCCTATGTACTACTCGGCCTGCCTCCTGAGTCAGGGGCTGCCGCTGCAGCTCCTGCTTGAGGCTAAACCCTGGTTTTGTGCCTGAGTATAAAGGTAGGTCGATCTTATGAGGGCCCGAAAGTGGCCCTCCGTTTCAGGCTGAAAAGCCTCAGGGCTAAAAAGCCCTGTTATAGGCTGAAAACGAAATAGGGCCTGCAGGCCCTCGTTTTCAGTTTCAGGCTGAAACGACATGGGGCCTGTAAGCCCTTATTTCTAGGCTTTTAGGCTGAGAATGCGGGACGGGCCCTGCAGGCCCGTGTGGCTACGCAGTATGCCACACCTACCCATGGCAGGGGGCGCGAGGGGCCTATGGATGGAAATGGGCGGAGCAGGGCATTTTCAAGGTGGGACATTTGTGGGATGAGGACCGGAAGGATTGGCGTACAGATGAGGAAATGGATCTTGCCCTGCAGGGGTGCATGAAGAGGGGCCAAAGGGTCAAGGACATGAGAGAGGCTATTCCGACTCAGTGGGTGGAAGTACTAAAAAAAGATGAGATGGCAGTGGGCCAGTGGGTCAAGCTTAAGGGGAGTGAGGCACCTGAAAGGCTCTATAGAGTCAAGCAGGTAATGCCGAATGGGGACCTGGAGTTCACTGTATGGCAGGATAGGCCGGGACGGGGATGGGAGGGGCTGGGGAAACCACTGCAGGACTTGCACTCTGTGAGGAGAATAGCACGAGCTCTGGTGGAAACGGTTGCGGTATGCAAAGGAGGGAAGAAAGAGGCTGGACACTACCTACCCTTTTGCACTGCAACCCAGCTGAGAGACCTTGTCTGGAACCCGGGAGACTGGGAATGGCCTCCTCAGAGGATGCACAGGAGATCGATGCCACTCCAAGAGGTAACCACGAAGATTGTTTACAACTCGCTGCTGGAACCGGTCAACATCTGTGGGGAACTGAAGGAGAGATGGGTCAAACGGGAGTGGCTCCCGGACGCGCGCCTTACTAATTGGACTCAACGAAAGTGGAATGAACAATGCAACATCATGGCTGCCTTGCCAGACCAAAAGCAGGCGGGCCTGCTATGGCAGATTTACCATTTGGCAATCCCGACTGCGCAGTGGCAGGCTACCAAGAGTTGTCATAAGGACCAAACTTGTGCTGCAGCTTGCGGCCAGGTGGAAACGATCCCCCACCTTTTTGTTCGATGTCCAAGGGTGCAGGAGTTTTTGGGAGTGGTGGGCGCAGGAAATGGCAGACAAGACACCGCTACAGGTGGATGAAACGACCGACACAGATATCCTGCTGGGTACCCTGGGCAAGGCAAGTAGGCGGGGCATGGCTGAAATGGTGGTGGAAGAGATCGTAAGGGCAGCAGTGTTATGGGCTCTGTGGACATTGAGAAATGAGCGATGTAGGCAAGGAACGTCCCCGCCACTTCGGGCCTATCAGGAGAGGGCACTGGAGAATATCCGCATTGCCATACTGGCGGATCTGCACCCAAGTAGACGTGTAGGAGAAGGCCAAGGCGGCAGGCTTTTGGCAGAAATGGGCCCCGTTCCCGCAAATGCTGGTGCAAGACTCTACTACAGGACAGTTGCAGTTTGAACCAGCCCTGCAACACTACGTGCCCAGTTTGGAAAAGGAGGACACAAGCAGCAGTCAGTCGATAGAATAGATCAGGGATTGGGTAGATAGGTTGTAAGGGAATGGGAGGAATCAGGAGTAGAGAGAGGAGGGTAGACGGTAGGGGGTAGTGGGGGAACGGGAGGGCAAGATGACAGAGGAAGGGACATGGGATATATTTGAGCGCTGAATATACTGTTGAATATACTGCTGGGGACAAGATTCAATTAGATTCAACTAGATTAGAATATGGATGGCCTCCCTGGCTTCAGGCATTTACGAAGGTTTTTTGTATAACTAAGAATAAGGGGCCTATTTTGGCCATAGGTGCTCAGCAAGGTCTCTCCATGATGAGACGAGAGAAACCTACTGCCCTCAGAATGGGTTGTGAACTAGAGGGCGGGCAAATAAGGCAAGGGTGAGTTTGTAAACATATCAGCAGGGTAGATATAGAACATAAAGGTGATAGGGCTCAGACGTAGATGATACTTGAGAATATAAGAGATACTCGGGGTAGGCTGTACAAAGGAGTGCGTAGTAGCGACTGGAGGGTGGTATGAGGGCGAGTGCTGTAAATGTTAGATGGTAGCCAGAGGATTTTAATGGGGAAACTGAGGAAGGGTTTAACACGATGAGAGGCCCGTGAGATTGGTAGAACAGCTCCCCCGAGCCAGGCCTTCCCTGGGGACCCATCTGTTGTGTGGCTGGGTGCTGCTAGGAAGTTTCCCGACCAACAGAGGTATCCCTGGGGAGGCTATGGTATGGGAAGTGGGTTTTGGCTGTAGCAATCCCCCCCTTGAGAGGCGTCTAGGGCCGCAAGGGCAAGGCTTTCCTCTTCTCTTTTAAACCAAACTGTATTTTGTTTTCCAGGCTTGCCGGTGATGAGCAACCGGACTGATGCCCCCCATAATAGAAGGGGCTGTTTTTTGGAAAAAAAAAAAAAAAAGGAAGAAGAAGAAGAAGGAGGAGGAGGAGGAGGAGGAGAAGAAGAAGAAGAAGAAGAAGAAGAAGAAGAAGAAGAAGAAGAAGAAGAAGAAGCAGGAGAAGCAGGAGAAGCAGGAGAAGAAGCAGAAGCAGAAGCAGTAGCAGCAGCAGCAGCAGCAGCAGCAGCAGAAGAAGAAGAAGAAGAAGAAGCAGAAGAAGAAGAAGAAGAAGAAGAAGAAGAAGAAGAAGAAGAAGAAGAAGAAGAAGAAGAATGGCTACATGTCAGAAGAAGAAAGAACGATCCAACCAGCTCTGATATCTGTGCAGTCTGCTCAGACCAAGAACAGGAAGACGTGATACATTGCCTAATTAACTGTACAGAAGCCACAGATTATTGGGCAAGAGCAGCAGCACTATGGGATAGTTTGTTCTCGTCTCCCCTCCCAGAGCACCCCCTTCAACTTCTGCTTTGGACTAATTTACCCTCTAACT